AAAAAAAAAAAAAAAAAAAAAGAAATGTAAGTTTTTCACCAAAACCAAATTTGTGTGTACTGTTTTCACCTTTCTTCCTCCCCATTTCTAAAAGAATGAGTTAGATGAAAATTTCAAGTATTTAAGACTATGAATTTTGACAAGATCATGAAGACTACGGGATTTTTGGCTGTACTTTGTTACAGATGTTTATAGCTGTGATGCTAGGCTTTCCGGAACATCTGTGTAGAAGAACTTCTGAAGAGTTTTTATTAATTTAGTGTACTTGGAAAAAAAAAGGGCGGGGGGGAGGGAGGGGGACCCAATGCACCAAAAAGAAACAAAACCCAAACACTCCCCCCCCTCCCCCCCCAAGTGGCTTATAGGTAGGAAGATGCATCCTTGAAGAAGGGGGGTAAAAGCTGTAATGGAGACATTGGCACCTTGAAGCGTTTCCAAGTTTAAATGCATGTAGTTTCAAGAAGTTCTGGAGGACTACTTGGCTTTGTATTAGATAGTATTTTTCCAGTAAAGTAACAGTAGCAAAATAAATCATGTTTGATGAGATGCAAAGCTAAGCTATAGGTTACTAAATCATTTCATAAATGAACAAAAACTATTCACCATATGATAAGTTATTAGTCCATAAAATAACTTTTCTTTATTTTTAGCGTAGTTAACAATATTTTATAATCCATATTTACATGTAAAATATACCAGTGACAGTTATTTATATGTAAGCCTTTAATGTTTCCTGTCACATCTTAATTAGAAAGACTGAACATCAATGGTGTCAAGTTTCTTGAAAACTGCAGATGAATATTTACCATATAATACTTACTGTTCATGGTACTCTTAATGTATTTTTGGACAAGTTTTATACTTACAAACTTATCACATTCAGGTCTTGCAAATTTAAATGGATAAAAACTTAAAAATACTATGCCATGTTCAAATGGTAGTAGTTGACAAAGATATAAGTGAGTTTCTGATTATTGATGTGTAAAATACTTTGCTAGTTAAAATATACTAGCTCTGTTTTAAAATAAGGTGCGATAGACTTTGTCTTAGTTGCTGTTTTAATTTGTACCCTTCTTTTAAAAAGATAAAACACAACAAAACCTATAACCTTCAGCTTATAAAAGTCACCAGTCATCATCTTGAAAGTATAGGTGTGCATGTCAGAGTAGCAGTAGCAAAATCATTGTCCTGATTCTGTTTCAGTACTCGTTGAAGAAACAAGATGGTAGTTGAGTGTATAGCTCCATTCTCGTGCTCTGTGCCTAGTCTAGCAGCAGAATACATGGGTTTCTTTTGAGCTAGGAGCTTACTGAGAGTCTGACTGGTGTTGCAGACTTATTCTGTATAGTCTAGGGTGGCTAACTAAAGGGCTAGATTGATGTTTAGGTGTTCGGTACCTCATGTGCCCTATTGTCAGCAGCAGCCTTGAGCTACCTTTCCCCTAGCAGAAACAACCCCCTAAAAGAGGTTGCTGCTGTTAGGGAAGTGCAGGTGAGGTATTGGCTACTGTTTCTACATAAAGCTTTATTTCTGGCAGAGGTGGCGATGAACTTACTGCTACTTCAGGGGAAGGCCTTAACCCCCTCCCAAGCTACTGCACAGCTACTGTAGGTTAATAAGCAGACAGGCATTTGGAAATACTTACTACTGAAATAGGTTTTCCATGGAACAGATAACAATGAGTAGAAGCTTCCTGTGGGTGCAGTTGGACTATAGTACCTAAATAGTCATTACTCTTAACCTACTTGTGGTTTAAGTTACAGCTCTGTTGTGTTTTTTCTCTTTTTCATTATACAGTTTCTTCCCTCCTACTCCTTCTTTATAAGAAGGCTATATAGTTGTACTTATTTAGATTGCTTACATTTTCTGTTAAGCACCTGTATTCTGTTTTGTTAAATTCTTCATGTCAGAGGGTCTGTTCTTTGGGGATGTCTTTGGACAACTTCAGCTGAAAGGATTCAACTGTTTTGAAGAATATGTGAGAAGTAGAGGGGTTGAAAATGTTATTGTCTGTCTTAACAAAAAAAAAAATCCATCCAAACAAAACCCCACACAGCCTGATGTCCTCTAAATAGACTACTCTTAGTGTTCTCCTGCCTTGGGTTAGAGCAGAGAGAAAGCTGATACCAAGGTTTTTATTCTGTTTGTGAAAATTCATCCCTATTTGGCCATCTGACGGGCTTTTGAAAAATATCAGCTAGTGTGTGCTTTCACGTTTGGGAATATGAACAGCCAGTAGGTGTTTCAGGTGTTAGAGTGGGCATGTCCTGAGGTCTGGCACTGGACATGACTATTCCTGTATATTCAGCTCTAGGCTGAAGTTGGTCCTGAATGCAGGCAAACTCTTCTGCTCCCCACCCCTTACTACCTGGAATATCAACAGGAGGAGAGACATACCAGAGGAGTGGTTAGAGGGAGAGGCTTGGACTGGCTAAGCAGGAAGAAGAATGGAGTAAGGAAGTCGGCAGAAGGGTTAAGAGGTATGGGCTTGCTGTGGGAGCAGGTCATATCGGGGAAAGGTTGCTAGGTCTGGGTGGATGAAAAGCCTGACAGGTGAGAACTGTGGAGTTAAATTGGAGAAAGCACTGGTGGAGGGATGGAGAAAATTTGAGTTGGAAAAATGAGGTCTTTAAGTTTGGGGAGGGAATGAGCAAGCGTTGTTCAGCTCCAGTAAGTAAATTCTTTCTACGCTACTGTTTTAGGAATGACAGCTGAGGTGTTATTTGGAGCTTATGCAAGTGCTCTCTGCTTGGCCTAGGAGCATGAGCTAGAGATACCCAAATGAGACTGTTAAATAACTGACATTGGACAGAATCATCCTCAGTCCTCTTGAGTGTTTTAGTGCATTTCTGGCGTGAGTGAGGAGCAGGTGGCAGCAATTCTTTGTGCTGTTGATCCAAGGAATCTGTTACAGTTCTTAGACTGGCAGTAGAAGAGGGAGAGAGTTGGGCCTAGGTAAGACAAGGAACGTGGTCTTTTTTTTTCCTCAATGATGCCTGTCTAAAAATAGGTTGGGAACCATGTTGCTGTAGTATAATTATATTCCTGGAATATGTTGCCAGCTGGAGTGTCTGTATGTGTGCAGACATCTGTTAAACTAGCCATTTCACCCTCTACTAGTGCTAGCCCTCACAAAGAATTGACAGGTTGTTGAAATGCTTCCAATAGTGCAAGCGTCAGAAAGTTGAGTGGATAGAA